CATCATCATCATCATGGTACAGCGAAACATAGTGAGGATAACTTCACTGATCACTACCAAACTCGCAAGGCATAAAAGGTTAGTGGTAAAATTTAAGTTGAACAGGGATTGGACCTATTTTGAGGGAGGAAAAAGAAGGTGAACCTCTATGTTCAACACACAGAGTACGCAATCGAAACTCTGCATACATACTGCTTCAAGCATTCTGACCTGATTAGAAATGACAACAAGAAGGCCACTGATGTCGGTTCACTGCCATATCTTTCAATGTCTCCAACCAACCAGTTGTGGAGTCTTTAAGACTCCAACCTGGAAGGCGAGAGACACCTACTCTACTTAATGGCTCTGTGCATTTCCTCATGCCTCGTCTCCACGTCATCTGGTGACCTCCACACCGCTTCCTCCAGCCCGGATTAGCTACAGCCAATAACGCACGGTGCGGCAGACGGCAGATGGGCATAAGCATGACGCGCCCTAGCCTCCGAAGCCTAATAATCTGAATTCGGTGTGCAACCAGGTTAATTCCTGACAGACTCCCAAACACACGACGGCTTACCTCCACGTTACTAACCCGCTCGCTTCATCCAACATGTGCTAAACTACGTAAAGATCGATAATCAAAAGCTTCTAGTCGACGGATATCTTCTATTCGCAAATTCATAGTCTCAAAACCATGAAGCAGAACTGAAAGAACGGTGGCACTATATACACGACCTTTCCATTTTAGTGAAACGTCTCGTCTACGCCAAAGGTGTTTCAGTTCTGCTTGAGCCTTGGAAATGGGGGCGGTTATCACCTTTGCTGCACTATCGTCATTGGTCGAACAACTACCTATGTAGGAAAAGTAATATACCATAAATAAATCTTGGCCAGCTGAACTGTTCGCTGAAGTATTCTGCCTAGCGATAGAGTCGTTGATCCCTATTGTAAATAGCTTATTCCCTTTTATCGCAGACTGCTTCACTAACTGAAGTTAGCCGACCTCCCGTATTGCCTATCAGTCGGAACAGTCTTTGACTATTCCCTGATGCAGCCTCTACTTCCATTTCACTAGCTGCTGTTTCCAATCAGTTCTCACTGTCCTTCCTGAGGCTCTTTGTGAGCTGACTTTGTGGTTGCCACCTAACTTTGTTTTGATCCTGGCAGGTCGGGATTTGTAGTTTCTGATCTATCAGTGCTACAGACTCATCAGATATTTATTGCCTCCGTTGGACTTGAGGCTCAGTCCCACAAGTATGCATTGCTCACCTAATGTGATCCCACTGCTCATTTAAATGATCACGTTGATGCGCGCTTAGCTCACGTACTAGTTTTGACTCATAACGTGCACGAACAGCTGGAACGGATAGTCGATGCTGAGCTATCCGAGTTTACTGTTTTTGTCGTTGACCAGAAAACCGCATCAAACTAATTCGTAGTCAGACTCAACGAAGGTAATCCAATAGGATCTGGAATTTTGCAGTTCGAGGTTTCGACACGCAGAAAATATCGATCCCCATTGTACGCACCTGACAAGCTTGTTGACCTACCTGCATCAGGGTCCTCACGTTGAAGGCCCCCAGGTTCAATGATTGAGGAGGCTTTAGAATCTGTAATTCGTTTCGAGATACATTACTTACAGTGCTATTTGGCAACGACCTTTGGCGGGCGACATCCAAGTTACTTTAGGGACTATTACTGGTCGGAAGAAGGGGAAAATGGAGATGGTTGGGTACTGAAGACTAGGAATTAAACAAAGGTTTGGATACCTGCGTAGTAGCCAACTTACCGCTACGCACCCCGCTCAGTGCAATGATCAGCGCCG